GGCGGAACCCGTGGCACGGCATCATGCAAGTGATTTGGATATTACAAACCTTTTCTCCTCCGTGACTTCGTTTTCTTTTGAAGAGCTTGTGAGCCTGATCTATGCACTCAGACAATTCGAACTCAAGATCCAAATCGGTTCGGTCAGGATTCTGACGCCAATGACGGCTTGCTCCACAATGCAATAGCGCACGGCATAGTTCAACGCGGCATGGAACAGTTCAATTCAGCACAGCACGGCACAGCCCGTGGCACGGTACATCACCATCGTTATTTTGAGCATTGCAATTGCCCGACGGCTAAGAAGGTGTCGCGAAACGTTTCCATGTTTCACATTTGTATATTCCTTTCCAGGTTCGTGGGTCGAGTATTTTAGTTGGTTCACCCCCGGTTTCGACGGCTCTAGGTCCGGCGAAACCACTGCGATCAAAAACGAGGTCGTCTGGGGCCGATGAAATTAATGTACGAGGATGTCTCGAGCGAAACGCTTGTTGTTCAGAATATGTTGAGGATGTCTCGAGCGAAACGCTTGTTTTGTGTTATAGGTTGTCCTCTCCTGGGGACCAGAATTCAGAGGATCTCTGAAGTGAACTGCTTGTTTTCACGTGCCCAGGTCTTGAGGATGTGTCGAGCGAGACGCTTGGTTTCACGCCTCCAGGTTGCCCAGGCAGATGTCTAGCATGAGGATTTGTTGAGGATGTCTCGAACCAGGGGCTTGTTTTCACGTGTCCAGGTCGCTCAGGCGGATGTCTAGCATGAGGATTTGTCGAGGAAGTCTCGATCGAGACGCTTGTTTGCACGTGTTCAGGTTGCCCAGGCGGATGTCTAGCATGAGGATGTGCTGAGAACGTCTTGAGCGAAACGCGTGGTTTCACGTGTCCAGGTCGCCCAGGCACAGCACAGCCCTCCGCACGGTACATCAATACCGATACCTTTAGCATTGCAGCCTGGCATGTTGCTTGGCACGTTCCGCGGAGCGTCCCGTGGCAAGTCCCCTTGGCACGTCGCGCGGTGCACGTCCATTGGCACGTTCCGAAGCGCGTCCCCTTGGCACGTCCCGCGGTGCGTGCCCATGGCACGTCCCCTGGCACGTCGCCTGGCGCGTCCTTTGGGGCGTTCCGCGGCGCGTCCTCCTGGCATGTCCCCTTGTCGATTAGTTCTGGGGCAGCTACCATCTGCTCAGGCAGCTCGAGCTACGGCCCAGCACAGCACAGCCGTCGGCACGGTACATCAAGATCGGCACACTCAACATTGCATTTTGGCACGTTCCTTGGCGCGGACCGTGGCGAGTCCACCTGGCACGTCGCGCGGCGCGTCCTCTGGCACGTCTCGCGGCACGTCCATTGGCACGTTCCGTAGTGCGTCGCCTTGGCTCGTCCCGCGGTGCGTGCCCATGGCGCGTCCCCTGGCATGTCGCCTGGCGCGTCCCTTGGGACCTTTCGCGGCGCGTCCTCCTGGCATGCCCCCTCTGTAGATTAATTCTGGGGCAGCTACCATCTGCTCAGGCAGCTCGAGCTTAAGATCCAGATCAGTTCGGTCAGGACTCGGATGCCAGGGAGGACTCGATCCACAACGCTATATATATGTATATATATATATATAGATAAAGAGAGAGAGCACAATCGCGGCATCGCACCTCGCAGTTCAGCACGGCGTAGCACAGCACAGCGTTCGGCACAGTACATCAAGATCGATACATTCAGCATTGCATTTACCCGTCGCCCAATTCAAGTTCTGTGGAAGTCCGCCGCGTAGTTCCACTGTTTGGGTATACACCTAATTCTGGATGAAACTACAAATCAAGACAAGCGCCGCAAAGCCTGCATACACGTATTCAGAAGCACCATCTGGCCAACATAGCCTTTTCAAACTTAGTCCTGGGTTTACCCTCCCCGTCCGATTGTGCTGCTGCTAGTGCTGCGTATGCCCTCAGCGGTGTTGCTGCTGGTGGTGTTGCTGTTGGTGATCGTGCTGCTGTTCTTGCTGGTGGTGATGCTGCTGCTGGTGCTGCTCGCGCTCCAGGCGTTGCTCGTGCCTCTGTCGCTCGTGCCTCGGCAGTCGGGGGCGTTGACGAAGATGGCCCTTTGGCTTCGAGACAGTAAGACACAGATCTTGAGATCCGCCATGCGCATGCCGTTCAATCACAGAGTACACGCTCTCATTGAGTGCTTCTGGTGAGAGGGATGCAGTAAGATATCCCGGAGGGGATCCCACTAAGAGGCCCAGCGATGCCCTTCCAAAGCACCGTGGCCACTCCAACCCGCCAGCCTTTCAGAGCAGGTCCCTGTGTAGATTTGCATGGCCAGGGCGAATACTGGGCGAATGATGTTTGGACCCCGTTACCGACACCTCGAGACCGTACACTGTTATATTATACAAACACATGTTCACGCACACAGGGCGAACAATGGGCGAAGGATGTCTGGACCCCGTTACCGACACCTCGAGACCGTACATTGGTATACTTTAGAAGCACATGTTCACGCACACACGCACACACTTTCACATACGCACGCACAAGTTTGCCAACTCCCCCCACACACACACAATTTCGTGCTGTTCCCAACCACCCTGTGGTGTTGGGTCTTCGTTTCGAAGAGAGAGAGCGAGAGAGAGAGAGAGAGAGAGAAAGAGAGGAAGAGAGAGAGAGAGAGAGAAAAAAAAAAGAGCGAGAGAGACAGACAGAGAGAGAGAGAGAGACAGAGAGAGCGAGAGAGAGAGAGAGAGTGAGCCCCGCGTTCTCTCCTCCTCCTCCTCCTCCTCCTCCTCCTCCTGCCGCTCCTCCCTCCTCCCTCTCCGCAGTTCGCATGCGTCTTCCCCGCCCAGTACATCGTTTCGTGGCCCCAGAGGGGGCTCCGGAGACGGTCCCAGTGGTGCAGTCCGCATTCGCCCCACCGCCCCGTACAGCGTTTCGTGGCCCCAGAGGGAGCTCCACCAAAGGTCCCAGTGGCTGAGCTCGCATGCGGTTCCTGCGCCCAGCACAGCGCTTCTTGGCCCCCGAGGGAGCTCCACCAAAGGTCCCGCAGGCCGCATGCGGCTCCCCCGCCGAGTACAGCGCTTCGTGGCCCCGGAGGGAGCTCCACCGAAGGTCCCAGAGGCGGAGCTCGCATGCGGTTCCCCCGCCCAGTACAACGTTCCGTGGCCCCTGAAGGAGCTCCACGGAAGACGACGCAGCCACTGGGGCCCTCGGTGGAGCTCCCTTTGGGGCCACGAGGCGTGTGAGCAGTGTGTCGAAATGGTTGATTGGTGCGGAGGGCAGAGGCAGGAATGAGAGGATTGGGGGGGGAGGGGGCATGAGGAAGGCGGGAGCAGGTGACGCGGGGCGCTGTGTCTTCAAAACGAGGACCCAACGCCACAGGATGGCTGGGAAACAAGATCGTATATTCGATTCTGTGGTGTCAACACTGTCAAAGACGACCCGACCCCAGAGATCTCCCAAATCGCCCCGAGATTGCCCAAGAGGCTGTCCAAAGGGCCCCTGGACGGCCCAAGAGGGCTCCAAGACGGACCAAGAAGCCCTGAGGACAGCCTGAGATGGCCTCAAGTTGGGCCCAAGAGGGGGTACCCGAGCTGAAATGTGCAGTCTTCTGCCCAAAGATGGCCCCCGAGGCCGCCATCAGGCGCCCAACAGGACAAGCCCCAAGAGGCACCCCGGAGGCCTAAAAGAGTGCACAAAAAAGTCCCCAGGAGGTCTTCGGGAAGCCCCCCAGAGACCCCCAAGAGGCCCCCAACTGGGCTCCGAGAGACTTCGAGACCCTAAGCCCCAAGATGCCCCAACATGGCTGGTATGCCATCACAGCGAGAGGAGAAAACACGAAAACGGTCCCGGCACGTCCCAGGAGGACCCCGAGACGGCTCTTCATGTATCTTTCTGCCTCCTGTCTCTATCTTTCCTCGTCCCTCCCGCACGTGCTCTGCCAGCCGGCGTGACAGCGCGCGCATGCTGGTTTAAGGCAGTTCTCTCTCCATGCTCCGTTACCCTCCTTCGTCCTGCACGTGCTCCGCCAGCTGGCGTGACAGCGCATGCATTCAAAATCAAGGCTGTGCTCCCTCCTTCCTCTGTCTTTCCTCGATCTTCCTGCAAGTGCTCCGCCACCCGGCGTGACATCGCGTGCATTCTGTATCAAGCCAGTCTGCCCTCCGTCCTCCGGCATACGTCGTTTCTTCTGCAAGTGCTCCGCTAGCTGGCGTGGCAGCGCGCGCATTCTATTTCAAGGCAGTTGTTGTCCCGTCCTCCGTCATTCCTCGTCCCTCCCGCACGTGTTCGGCCAGACAGGCCAAGAACATGTGACGACATCCGAATACCAGCAAACCACGGCCTCGACATTTCATCACAACGCCAGTCAATGCCCCAAGGCTGTTCAGTGATCTCCCCGACAAACCCGCAAGCCAAGATTGCTTGTCGTGATAACGATCTGGCAACCTTGGATAGAGTCATTCGGGCCAAAGACACCTGCCCCTGCCAAGACAGCGCCTAAACAGCGCAAACGCCAGTCCAAGGAAACCCTGCGATATCCCATATCCAGCCCAAGACGGTCACAACCCTTCTCAGACAGCGAGTCGCCCGCAAACCCCCACCTTTGTGTCATCGCAGCGCCATGGGTTGGGCTAGAACCTAAGCGCGCGAGAAGCGCGCGCGTGGTTCTACTTTCCATCTGTTTCACAAGGTGCATGCTGAACTCCATTTGCAGCCACACTTGTTCAATCAGTATAGCACTGCACTCCAGGCCTGACGCTCTGCTCTGTCAGCGTGCCAGGTCTTCCAGAAGAGAGAGATGGTGTTGCCCTCTCCGCCACCCCCAGTTCAAACCAAGCGCCGGCGAATTTAGTTCGAGACGCCAGGCCCCATTCCAGTCTTCGTTCAGGGAGGCAGGCGCAGCATCTCTTCTCACCAAGTTGCCTCCTAGAGTGGTGGTTTGAGTCGTCCCCCAGGGTATGTGGACTACTCCTCCTCGATCTTCCCTGCCTCGATCGTCCTCCTCCGCCCCCCCTCCAGCGGAGGCGGCAGCCCGGCGCCCCCCGACCCGAAGCGGGCCAAGACCGCGCATGGCGCGGTGGCGAAGGAGAGGCCAGCAGGCGCGCTCCTCTGCCGCGGCTGCACGCACAAGAGTGGCCCGTCGCCAGGGCGGCCTTTTCTTAGGATTTAACTTAGGATACAACTCGTCGGCGGTTGGAGTCAGCGGTCGGTCGAAACTCCGGGAGGCAGCATAATCCCTCTTAATCTGGCTCGCTCTCAGCTGATCATGTCTAAGCCCAGGCCTACATTCTGGCCCAGTGCAGCAAATTGGCCGTGCAACTTGACCTGACAGCCTTGATCGTTGTTGCGAAGACCTCCCACCCAGGAGTTGCCTCGTTACCCTTTCGGACGGGGCTGGGACGAGGATAAATCCGTTCCAGCGCGTTCCAGAACGCTCTGAGAAGGCCCCGGCGCCCGAGACATCCTGCAGTACCGCCGGATCTCAGGGATTCCCGATGTATGCTCAGCCGATTGTATCCTCGTCCTGGCTTCGTCTCAGGCCCTCCGCTGGGGTGACCTTTTTTGGTGCGCGGGCTTCGGGGGTCGCCCGGGGTGTCCGGGCCCACTGCGCGCAGGCCGCCGCTCCTCTCGCATCGCGCGCAGCGGTCGGCATGCCGCGCGCCCGGGCACCCGCAGATCTCGTGTGTGTGTGTGTGTGCCGTCCGTGGCCCAAGGAGGCCCAACCCCAGGCGTGCTCGCGTCGTGACAACAGTCAGGGCGGGGGGGGCGGTCGCAGTTTTCGGCTTCTGGGGGTCCTCACAGCAGGGCCCCAGGGCCGCCAAGAAAGACGACTCAGGCCGAGAGACCGTCCTCGGGGAGGGGGTCGAGGCGTCAGGGGGCCGCCAATGCTCGAAAACATCTGGAAGGACGTCGCATTGCTGGAGCCGCCTCTCCAGGAGTGCGGTTTGCCCTGGGTGCACTTCTCACGGCCCCCGGGGCCCGCACACGGCTCCCGAATCGGGCGTCGCGTGATGGGGGGGGCGATCAAATGGGAAGGGTCAGGCGGAGGGGGAGGAGGAGAAGTTGGGTCGCGCCGTGAATTTCGCGCGCTTCCCTGGGGACAGCAAGGCACAGGATATCGTGAAGTTCATGGAAGGTGTGCTCGCCGAGGCCAGGGAGGACGTGGAGGAGACCTCTGCACATGGGAAGAAGTTTGCGGAGCGCGGAGGGGCATGATTCAAGACATCCGAGGCTATGTGGAATTGCATGGGCGAAAAGCCGGGTAAACGTCTTCACAAGTACATGGGCCAGAACATCTTTTACAACACGGATTCCAAGTACAGGGGCCCGACATCGCAGGATGCAAAACGTGAGCGGACGGTCCAGAAGGTGGTGAGGACGATCATCGAGGTCAAGGGGGTCACGGTGGAGGCCAACATCGACGCCAATACTACCTCAAGAGCACTGCGTGGTTCAAGGATGAACGGGCGGCAGTGTGGGTAGACGACGAGATGAATTTGGTGGGGGCGAAAAGATGGATTTGGTGGGTTCAGGAAAGCTCACGCCACAGGGTATGAGGAGGAGAACGTGGAGGTGGAGGTAGAGACAGGGGGTCCCAGGGAGGGGGCAGAGGAGCATATGCCAAAGTGTGCGGGGACGTACCAGCGTCGCTACTCCAACGCGCTGGAAGGATGAAGCTTGGGACGCTCTGCCAGGCTGATACTTCAGAGAGCGGAGGGGGGGCTGGTCAAGGCGACATGCCAGCGCCGGATGGTTGTTTTAACTCTTTCATGGGATGCGCGTGGTATGAAGGAGGGGTGCACGCAAGATGTGGCTGATATGCTCGCTGAGGGCCTGGCGCGGCATATTCTTCCGTGCCAGGACGGGCCTCGCGCGGAACACCCAACTGAACAGGTTTTGGGGTCAGGTCGTTTGTGGTTTTCTTCGGAGGAGGCCTCTACCAGGAGAAACGCGGGCATTATGGTGAGCAAAAGCGTCGGTTTCAGCAAGGTGTTGAAACGCGTTTCAATGCGCCTACGGCTGCGCCGTGTTACGTCGATGTCGATTTGCCCAGTGCTTGCATTCCTTTTGTGGCGTCCCAACTGCGCCATTCCCGAGCTACGGGCGAGGAATTCGAGGAGGGCTTGGTTGAACTGGAGAAGGCTGCATGTGGCGCGCGTGGGGCGGAGAGGACGGTAGTGACAGGCATCGACGCGAACGCAGTGCTGGGGAAGCGGCAAACGTACGACTTCCCCCAGGTGAGAGAACTTGTTGGGCAGGCACGGGGGCCTGAATGAGCGAGGGCATCGAGTCAGTGACGGGTTACATGCTGCTCGCTGCATTTCAGTGGAAGGTCTGTCTGAGCGGGATTGGGAAAACACATGGACGCACAAATTATGGGGCATCGGGGAAATGCGACAAATCGATTACTTGTTCGTCGACTCTGTGCACGCCGAGCTTGGAGACAGTTGGAGGGCTAATCGGATCATGGGGCGTTCTTCGCTGCAGTAGCACGCATATGCACAACGCCACACAGAGCATGCATGGAACGAAGAAATGAAGGGGTGGGCGCCAGAGCTGGACGACGACGGCGATCCGACTGGCGGCCATGACTTGTTGACGAAGGCCCTCTGTGATGGACGCTCCAATCTTGCGTGCGTGAGCGGCTTAGTGATGACGGCCGCGCGCGTTCATCCCGAGGAGGCGCAGCAGTTGTTCTCCGAAAGGCGGGCGGCGACTTGCCCGGCAACCCAGCGGGAGCTATCGAAGAAGTTTTTGGGGGCTTTTTGACGGCAGCGACGCGTGCGACAGAGAAGGGAAATAGAGGAGTTGGCAGAAAACGGCAGAGGCATCCGAGAAGTGCAGAATACATAGCAGAGACACGCGGGCACCGAGAGGATCACAGCAGTCACAAATATCGAAAGGAAGCGAGCTACAGACAATGGAGAGATCGAGGGGGCATGTGTTGATTTTTTGAGATTCTGTACATGGGCGACCTCGCGGAGGACCTGGGCTGGGTGGCATAGTGCCCCCGGTGACCGTAGCTTACAGCCGGCCTGCGCAAGATGAGAAAGTGGCGCACTTGCGCAGACGACGGCCTGGTGTCCGGGATGCTACAGACAGGACGCGCCGGCTTTTTGGAAATTAGTGCGGGACATTTCTCTGATGTTCTTTCGGGGCGCATGGGGCCTCCACTGGAATGGAAAAGTGACCGTTGACCAATGCATTTGCAAGACGAGGCAACGCTCGGATTCGAAGAACTACAGACATATCTGAATTATACTGGCCATGTCACACTTACTCAGCACAGTGCCATTTCTCGGTTTACAATCGGTTGTGGAGAACAGGCTTATGGGGGAACAACATTGTGTTCGCATATGGCATGCTTGCGATGATGCAGTGCGCGCGCTGTTTTCTCAATTGTTCGAGTTGCGCGCGCGTTGGACTGGTGGCGACTTGTTCGAGTCTCTTCTGTCTTCCAATATTAGCGTCTCCGTCGCGAAGGTTCTGCGAAAGCTCTACCAGAGCATGGCTGCGCACGTGCTGCTTTGACCAGGCGTGGAGGGCGTCAATTTCAGGTGCAACGCGGCGCGCGTTAGGGTGATCCGCTTTCGCCGGCATTGCTCAATGTTGCGCCGGTGCCGGTGTAAGCGCGGGCAGCGTGGCAACGCGGAGGAGGATGCGGCACAGAAGTAGGGCGCGGATTGGACGGCAAGCGGCTTGCCCGCGTCGCCTCCGCAGACGACGCTACTTTGGGCTTGGCTATCGCTCAAGAGGATGGCGTTGGAGTTGCGACGTCTGTTGCTGCTTCGCGGCGTGCGCTTGCACCCTGCCAAATGCAAAGCGCAGACGAATATCCCAGCATGGAAGAAGTGGGGACATTGCTTTGGAAGAAAGCTTTTCCTTTTGAAATTGTGAGAGGAGTCGGGGTAGTGCCTGGAGGAGCTAGGCACATCGTTGTCATTCACAGGCCCAACGAAGCGTTAAATCGATCACTGGGCGGCAACTGGTGGCGGGAGTTCAAGGGTTTGAAGCGCCCGTTGCTCGACCCGAATGTCTCGGTCAACAAACGCCCGCGCCTCTTCGTTGACGCCGAGTGGCCAGCGCAGTACCCTGCGGATCGCATTCCTGGGCACCGCGGGTGGAGGAAATACAGGCGCTGACAACAGGTTGACGCAACATGCTTCGGTGGATCCCACGATGCGGGCGCGCCCCCGGCGTGCCCGTGATCGAGTGGCTTCCACGCGCCCCGTGGGAAGCTCGCGCGATAGCGCGCGAGGCTGGAGTGAGCGATTGGGTCCGGGAGCGCTCCCGGAAAACATGGTTGTGGACAGGGTTCGTCGCCAGAAAGAGTAATTATGGCATTTGAAATGCGTGATTCTGGTTGGACGAAATCGGCAGCAGACTACGCGTGGCCCGCGCAACGCCCGTCGAGAAGAATGTGAAAGAACTCGGATGATGTTGTCCATTTTTGTTCGCGGAGAGGGCTCCGGCTCAAGGTTCTCTTTTAGTTGGTTTACCCCCCGGCCCCGACGGGAGGTGGGTCGGCGGATTTGTTTTGCTATAACTTACGAAATGAAGTGTGCATTTGCAGTTGAGCACGCGCGTTTTTTCGCGTGCCCGCTGGAGGAAAGTTCACCCCCCATCTCGGATCTTCGATCAATAATGGAGTCCGCAGACCACCGTTTTCCTTCGATAAACAAAAAGAATGCGGAGCATTTCTAGCAGAATCCCCGGAACAAGAACCAAGGTCTGGAGCCCCGACCGCGACGCGGATAAACGTCGCGCGCGCAGGAATTCCGATAATGTTTCGCGCGTGCCGCGTCCCCCGCGCAGGATTTTCGAGGATGTCTCGACTAAATCGTTGGTTGTTCCATGGTTTCCTTGGCCACACAGGGGAGTGTCAAACATGTTCTGCCCGAGATGGAACCTCGTCGCTTCACGTGTCCAGGGTGCCCAGGTGGGTATCTAACACGGTTGTCCCGAGCTGATACCACGTTTTCCCGTGTCCAGGCCACACAGGTGGGTATCGAACATGAAGGCCCCGCGCTGGAGCCACGTGTTTTCACGTGTACAGGTCACCCAGGTGGGTTTCTAACATGTTGGTCACGAGATGGGACCACGTGTTTCACCTGTCGAGGCCACCCTGGGGGTGGCTAAGATAGTGGTCCCGCGTTGGAACCATGTGTTTTCACGTGCCTTGGTCGCCCCAAGGGTATATCTGACATGGTGGCCCCGCGCTGGAACCCCGTCTTTTCACGTGTCCACGCCATCCATGGGGGGTATCTAACATGCTGGTCCTGAGCTGGAGCCACATGTTTTTTCGCGTCCAAGCCACCCATTCGGTATCGAACATGGTGGTCCTGAGCTGGAACCAAGTGCTTTCACGTGTCCACGCAACCAAGGGGGTATCTAAGATGGTGGTCCCGCGCTGGAGCCACGTTGCTTCACGTGTGCAGGCCACCCAAGTGGGTATCTAACATGATTGTCCCGAGCTGGAGCCACTTGTTTACACGTGTCCACGCCACCCATGCGGGGTATCTAACATGGTGGTCCTGCGTTGGGACCGTGTGTTTTCACGTGTCCAGGCCACCCAGAGGGGTATCTAACATGGTGGTCCTGAGCTGGAACCGCGTGTTTTCACGTGTCCAGGCCACTCAGGCGGTATCTAACGTGGACCTCCTGGATCCTTCTTGGGACTCGGAACGGGTTGTCGAGAGTTTAGTTGTATGTGGTATCGATTCGTTGACCTTGTGGCCTCCAGGCGCCTCTGGGCGTTCCTGGGCCCTCCTGCGCTCCAGACGACCGCATGCTAGATATCCCCCTGGGTGGGCTGGACCACGTGTTTTTACGTGTGCAGGCCACCCAGGGGGTGTCTAACATGGTGGTCCCGAGCCGGAGCCATTTGTGTTTGGGTAGCTCTAACATGATTGCTCTGAGCAAGGACCACGTGTTTTAACGTGTCCAGGCGATTCAGGGGTGTATCTAACATGGTTCCCCGAGCTGGCACCATGTGTTTGTAGGTGTCCAGGACATCCAGGGGGATATCTAACATGGCTGTCCCGAGCAAGGACCCAAGGACCACGTATTCTCACGTTCCGTAGCGCGTCCCCTCGGCACGTCCCACGGTGCGTCCCCGTGGCACGTCCCCTGGCACGTCGCCTGGCACGTCCCGTGGGACGTTCGGCGGCGCGTCCTTCTGGCATGTTCCCCGGTCAATTAGCCCTGGGGCAGCTACTATGTGCTGAGGCAGCTCGAGCTTAGGATCCATATCAGTTCGGTCTGGACTCGCAAAGGAGGACTCGATCAACAACGCTACAGAGCACAATCGCGGTATGGCACATCGCAGTTCTGCACGGCTCAGCACAGCTTTGCATTCGGCACGGTACATCAAGATCAATTAATTCAGCATTGCAATTTGGCACGTTCCTTGGCACGTTCCGTGGCGCGTCCCGTGGCGAGTCCCCCTGGCATGTCGCGCGGCGCGTCCCCTGGCACGTCCCGTAGCACGTCCATTGGCACGTTCCGTAGCGCGTCCCATCGGCACGTCCCGCAGTGCGTCCCCGTTGCACGTCCCCAGGCACGTCTCCTGGCGCATCCCTGTTCCGCGGCGCGTCCTTCTGGCATGTTCCCCTGTCAATTTGCTCTGGGGCAGCTACTATGTGCTGAGGCAGCTCGAGCTTAGGATCCATATCAGTTCGGTCAGGACTCGGATGCAAAGGAGGACTCGGTCCACAACGCTACAGAGCAAAACGTCGGCATGGCACATCGCAGTTCAGCACGGGGCAGCACAGCACAGCCCTCGGCACGGTACATCAAGATCAATACATTCATCATTGCAATTTGGCACGTTCCTTGGCACGTTCCGTGGCGCGTCCCGTGGCGAGTCCCCCTGGCACGTCGCGCGGCGCGTCCCTTGGCACGTCCCGTGGCACGTCCATTGGCACGTTCCGTAGCGCGTCCCATCGGCACGTCCCGCAGTGCGTCCCCGTGGCACGTCCCTTGGCACGTCTCCTGGCGCATCCCTTGGGAGGTTCCGCGGCGCATCCTTCTGGCATGTTCCCTTGTCAATTAGCTCTGGTGCAGCTACTATGTGCTGAGGCAGCTCGAAAGATCCAGATCAGTTCGGTCAGGACTCGGATGCAAAGGAGGACTCGATCAACAACGCTATAAAGCAAAATGGCGGCAGGGCACATCGCAATTCAGCACGGCGCAGCACAGCACAGCCCTCGGCACGGTACATTAAGATACATACATTCAGCATTGCGTTTGCCCGTCGCCCAATCAGGTGTTTTTGAAACGTTGCCATTCCTTGTTTTTCTATATTCCTTCCCGGGGTCGTGGGTCGATCATATTCTGCAAACAGCATCATCATCCAGTGTCGAGAATCTCGTCGCGTGGTTCATCAAGCAACGGGGCGGCACGCGCTGAAATGCGCCCCTCGCGGACCGCTTCGGGGACGCAGCCATTTCCACTTCCATTTCCACTTCCACAGCCTCTGAGCGGAATATAGTCGGCGGGGGAGGAATGGGGAGAAGGAGAAGGAGAAGAAGGATCGACAGGCGAAAAGAGTTCCAAGATAATCCCCAGACAGTGCCAGAATACCCCTTCCCAGGGTTCCCCCCAGTGGTTCCCCTCATGCTTTATTTTTGAGGGCCTCTTGGGGGCTGACTGGGCGCCTCTTCGAAGCCTCTTCATGGCTTGACGGGGGCAGCTTAGGTTTTAGGAGCTCGGTAGGGGTCTTGAGCCCATCTTTGAGGGAGGCTTCCATCGGCATCCATCCGCATCCTGCGCCCCCTGGAAAAGAATTTACCACGATGGCTCCTCCGTCCTCCTAGCCTCCTGGATATCATCAGGACGGAACTTGTTACTGTTGACCTCCAGGTGTTCGTTTCGGGCCCTGGGGCCTGCAACGAAAGTCACCCGCTGTACGAGATCGCTGGATCCCTGCGATTGAAAACCTGGGGCCCCAGTCGGATTGCAATTGTGCTCCGGATTGCCCGACCTGATTCAGGATAGCCTCCAGGAGGACCGCCCCCTTGCTTCTGCTCCTCCGATTTCTCCTTGTCGTTATCCTCCTCTTCCTTCTCCATGTCATTGGCTCTGGTCGTCGTCGTCTCCCTCCGCTTCTTGTGTCGGCTGGCACGTTTCATTTTCATTGCATTGATTTGCGTTTTCAGGGCCCGTCTCGGCCCCACCAGGCAGCACCTGCGCGGTACGTGATGCATGCCGTGTTCGTTTGTGTGTTCTCCTCGTCTCCCGATGTCCATCCACGAGAATATATATATATATATATATATAGATTGCACAATTTCTCCGAGCCCGTCGAGTCCCTCCTAACCCGTCGGTAGGGAACCTCTCCGCTATGTCGCCGTCGTCCACCTCATCCCCCAGCTACAGGCCTATGGCCTGCGAAACGAACCGGCCGAACGAAGATCGGCCGTGGTGGTGTTCTCAGAAGAAGAGGTACGAGTGAGGCAGCGCGAGCAGATACAGCTCAGCCGAAGTTGAGACATGCTGCTCCAGGGAGGCCCTTCTTGCACGTGCCCGTAGCCGCTGGCTCACGCCAGGTTGGCTCAAGCACTTTGAGAACGTTGCCTGTTCAACATGGCTTTCCGTGCAATGGCGGGGGGAAGCTCCCGCGCGTTCATCTCGGGGGCTGCCAGAGGTGGTCCATGACCGAGCTGGCCCCCGTGTCCCAAGGAGGCCCAAACGGCCTCGAGAACACCCCTGCGCAAGGCCCCAGGGGCCCCACAAGAGCGCGTAAGGCCACGGGCCGGCAAGGGCTAGATGCCCAGACATCCGCCGACGTGATGGTTTCAACCCGCGGCCCCAGAAGTCCCGATTCCTTACCTAAGGGTAGTTTTGCGTCCCGGATCCATGTGCGATGGTCCTGGGGCCTGGAGGCGGGCCCCAAAGGCCGAAATCGCGGAGAACTGACGGGATGGAGCCGAAAACACATGTCGCTGGAGATCTGGAAATACCTACGGCAGCCCCCGGTCGTCGCGTTGGCGGCGCTAGCGCTGCTTGCTAGGAGGGGGGCGCGTGCAGCTCGGTTCCAGCCCCGCCTGGAGGAGGAGGGCGCCGCCGGAGACGCCGAGGCGGGCTCCGCTCAGCTCGGCTTCGCCGTGCGGGTCCAGGGCGGAGACAGCGGCGGCAGCGGGGGCCACAGGAGCTGGGAAGAGGACGAGCCTTGGGCATCGCGCCCAGTCTCCCCAGACCTCCGACGAGATGGTGTTGCCAATCGCGGTTGTTTCCTTGATGTTGGCCCTCGAGGGCCGATGTCTTACCCCAGGGCGATGAAAAGGGGCTGCAGGGCGCAAGTGTACTCTGGGGGGAAGGGTCGAGAGGTCTGGTGTCGCGGAGTGAACCAATCATATCCGAGCGTATCTCGGAGTTCAGTGGAATGAAAGATACCGATGCGGCTGCTTGTTCTGAAGAGCCATCATCGCCACAGCTGGAGTCTCCTCGAAACTCCGATCAGAGTGCACCCTGGCAGAGGTCTGGGGAGCAGCGGTATGGGTATCCAGTTGTGTAGCCGCGCGATTCCGCCACCGCGTTCGGGCGGGCGTGGGGGGTCGGCTTGGGGGAGGGGGTAGGGGAGAGGGTCCACGGACCCACCTTCCCCAAGCCTTGTCCATGAGACAGATTTCCTCCTGGAAGGCCCAAAGCGCAGGGGCTTGGCCACAACAGGGAACGCATCTTGGGCTCGATGCTTCGGCGGGCCCCAGTTCTTAGTTCGCAGAGAGCGAAAGGGCCCGACGCACACCAACCGCTGCAAGCGCGGTGGCGGACCTTGTTGCCCCAGGAGCAGCCTCCACGTGGCGCTGCGCCGCTGCGATGACGGCGGGGGCGCGTGGGCCTTCGCCGTCGGCCACGACGGGAGCGCCGCGGAGGCGACGGCGGAGAGGGCGCGCGGGCACATGGCGCTGAGAGGCGGCGCCCGGAGGGCTCGGGGGCGGTTGCGGGGCAGCGTTCTGGGGAGGGGCGGTCGGCTCCGGGAGGGGGGGGGGGGCGGCCCAAAGGGGGGGGGGGGGCTGGCCCAGGGGTCACGGGCTATAGGCCAAGGGGGTAGGCTCAGGGGCACCTCTGGAGGGGAATTGGGGGACTGGGCCCGGGGACTGGATAGCCCACCCCCGCCTTGGACCGTGCGTATTCGCTGTCGGGGGCCTATCGCCGTTTTATCAGCGACGCATCGCCGATTCCAGACCACTGCTCTCCCCCTGAGATGGTCGCCCCCTGCCCTCGAACCTCACGCGAGGGGCGCCTCTGTGGCGCAACACGTCGGCAGGCACGTGGAGGAGGGCACCTCGGCGGGCCCTCACTGTTCCCAGTGTCTTGCCGATTCCGTTCCAATGTGTCCCGCTGGTCCCCCCTTCTAATGTTGCCCCTCGCGTTTCCCAGTGCCCGATGAGAGGCCTTTCCGTCGTCTTCTTGTGTGCCCTTGGGCCCTTCCGGGGAGGCCCCAGGCCGTGTTGGGGGGCTCGCCTCGGGGTCCTGGCGCCGGGGGGCGCCCCAGGAGAGGTCCCGGGCGGCAACGGCACGCTGAACACAACAGGGAAGCGATCGGCATGGAAGCAATGAGGAGTCGTGGAGGAGGGGGGGAGGAGGAGTGCGAGAAGGGCGAGGATGAGGATAGGGAGGAGAGGGAGGAGGATCGAGGATCGAGGATCGAGATTCGATCGATCCTCGATCGTGGGAAGCAGCGGCACGCTGAGCACATGAGGCAGCATGTCGGCGTGGCAGCGGGTGACCCCGCGGAGATCCCCTTGGGCCGGACGAAAGCAGAACCCCTTGGATTACTATTCTATGATCCTTGGGAATGGATTCCAAGGGATTCCCGACGGGTTGACAATGCGCATACTGTTATCCTTTTTCTTTTATCATATGAATGTGGCGGATAACGCCCCCTCCCCCCCCCCAGGGTCGCCTCCCCAGGGCCGCTTGGGGAATTCTATGGGCGATCAGGAACGCCGTACTTTCGCCAACGCAGATTATTGGATATCTACCGTCGGATGAAACTGCTGCTCCAATTAAGGAGGCCTTCGATGACTGCGCGACTGAGGAGCCAGCTCAACTTAACAAGTTTAACGTTTTGATATACCTGTTCCGCAAATGCGTTGAGGATTTCTGCCCTTCCCCGGAAAGATGACGGTCGCTTCCTATGCCATCAGCTCCACGAGTTTCGTTCGGGATTCGTGGCTTGTCCGGTGTGTTTCGCCGGCGTCACTCGACTCGCCGCCCGCGCGGATTTCGTCACGGTGGGGCAGGTAGGGTTGATCCAGTAGAGCCTGAGGGATCGGGGATTGCGAGTTGTAGTTTATTTGGAGCGTTTGCATTTGCCCACAAATGACCGACGCGCCAGGCAAGCGGCTGCGTCGACTACTGTCGAGGGTAATCTCCGCATGCGTGAGAAGTCGAAGAGGGCAGGGGCCAGCGAGTACAAGCATCGCATGGAGGTTTCCCACGGAGGACAAACGCTTTTGAACAACGAGTGGGGCTGTGTTCCCTCGTGGGCAGCTGCGGGCCCGCTCGACCATTCCCCGTTGCGCCGCGACCTTTATTTTGAGTTCGTGGGGCCTCTCAGGAATATATCCCTCGAGCGCATGAAGTACAAAGGCGATGCCACGCCCTTTGCAGTCTGGTGGCGGGACGTGCGGACACTGACAGACCAGCACTCGATTCCTATGGCCTGTCCACCACTGGCAGCATTTGATTGGGAGGGTGTGCTGAACGAAATTACCACGCACCCCGATGGGTGGACGGCATGGAGAGAGTCTCCGAGACAAGAGGGAACCTCTTCGCCTACGCCGATGCGCGTGGCCGAGGCCGCGGCTTAGCCCGCGGTCCGCCAGGCGTGGGCGAACGGCCGTGGTGGTCACAGACTCGGAGCCTTGCGACGCAAGCGGACCATCCGTTTGCGGGCGTGGGCAAGTCTGAGGATCTGCCGCGTTGCACCAGCAGAGCTGTTGCCCGGCGGGCTAAGCTGCCTCGGAACGTCGGAAAGCACAGGTGTCCGTGACGAGGTTCAACCTCTTGAGCCGATCATCTTCGGGCCCCGTGGCGAGGAAAGCGACGGTGAAAGGTGCTATCCCCGCTTGTTCTCGCCTTCATCACAACCACTTGTGCGAGCAAGGAAGTGAGAGCGGCTTTTCCTGGCGGAAATGAGGTAGACATCCGCAAGCCAGAGGGTAGGACCAATCGCGCACAAATTTGGAAGGGAATCCCGCCGCGGCACTAGGTCTTCTCGCGCCCGCTGGTCATGCCAAGGACGTGGATGCCCAGTGCATGCTAGACTACGTGTCAGAACTGGAACCGGGCACCAGAAATGAGAGTCGCGAGCAGTCGAAACATTTTATGCAGCGCGTTAACCACGCCTGGACGACGACAACGTTCTCTCTTGAGCTTCGGTTGGTTAGGACGCATTCGACCAGGGAGTTGGTTGCAAAATGCATGTTGAAGGGCCGCTATGTGGCGTTCCCTGGTTGAAAAGTTGAGAATGAGTTTCGTTCGGAGTTGAACGCTGCCCGAAACAGAGGAGGATCGACGCTTGGGCGCAACGGAGGAACCAGAGTGGCGGTGCAAAGCTCAGATTTGGTCGGTTTGTATGTTAAGGGACCGGGTTTCAACTTCAGGCCCCACGCGAGGCTCGTCGCCCCAACGGTACATGCGCGCGCTGCCGAACTCGGACTTCAGTTCCATTGGGCCGAGGAAGCGACGGGCGACGACGCAGCAGCATGAGACAATGCGACCACCAAATACAAAGAGGGCACTTTTACTCACGCATTTGGCGTCATCCGCGCGCGCAGAGAATTTGTAGTGAACGTTGTCGGCTCAGCCGGTGATGCGAACGCATTGGACGTCGATGGCGACGGAAAACCAAGTGTGGGCAGGATCGATAAAATGAAGGCGGCGGGCGCTGAGGCCGCTGGTGCTTCGGCACCAGGAAGCCTCGCGCAGATAGATGGTGCTCAGCAGAGTGCGGCTGCTGGTTCAATCGGTGGTCGTCCGACGTGGGCTGATGCGCCAGCATCGACAGGTCCACCGGCGGTTCTTGCCTGGCCTTCAGCTGCGCCTGCGCCGCCGCCTCCGCCTGGTCGCCGGATTTCCCCAGCAAAGAGACACGTTCCCAACCGGAGCGAGAGCGCGCCGCCGCTGCCCAAGGCAAGGCGAACGAAAGAGATGCGCGTCGGCGGAGAAACGCCCCCAGTGGGGGGCCAATCTGTTGCCGCGGCCTCCGCGGCGTCAGCGGTGATTTAGAGAGAGGCAGCGACGCCCCGAGGGCATGCGATGATGAAATTGGAGTTTGGGATGGGATCCAGCATTGCCACGCTGGAACTGGGTGGTGGGTGCGCCGTGTGCACTATCGAGAATGGCATTTGTGGGATACCAGGGATTACAACTACAGATCCAATGTTCGTTCGAAGGGAAGAGGGATAGGATTCAAAGGCAAGAAGTAATGCCGCCTGCAATTTGGAAATAGGTTGTCGGTTAAAAGTACATCGCGCCGACTGCAGGTCACTCATGAGGAGTGCGAGTCTCTGTCGGTCGATGCCTCCAGAAGCATGTTCATGACCGCGACAATGGACGGCTTAGCCGCATGTTGTTCGGCGGCTGAAAGTTTTGCAAGATCAGGAATCATATCTTGTCTGCGAACATCATACAGAGCTGGCGCAGCGTATCTTTGCTAGGGCCTTGCGGCCAGCGCCGCCGAGAGGGTGGCGTTCTGACCCGGGGCCACCCCCCAGGGCCCCCCCCCGCGGGAAGGGATCAAGGGGGAGGGGCTTCCCGTCGACTCAATGCTTAATTTCGCTGTGGATGCGCTGGTGGATTTCGCTCCGGCTGACGCGCTGGAGGACGAGGGCCCAACGAAAAGGGGGGAGCGGCGACGGACTCGGGGGAAGGAGGGGGCGTGATGGCGGCGGCGACGCGACGGCGTCAGCGACGGCGACGGCGACGGAACCGTCCCTGTCACACGCCGACAGGGTCGGCGGATTTGTGGTAGCCTGACCCCGAACGTCAGACTGAGCTGGCGCAGTGTACAGTCTATGGGATGCGTCAGTCTGCTTCGGCCAGCTTCAAGGATTTGCCAGGAGTTGTTGCGATGCCGCCCCGTTCGCTGTAAAGCTGATTTCCTGGACATGGCAGAGGCCAAAGTTTTTTGTTTTTTCCCGGAAAGGGCAGGGGCCCAGGGTTCTCTTTGAGTTTTGCTCCCCCGGCCCCGAGTTGAGGTGGGCCGGCGGAATTATTTTGGACAACAAACGACGTCGAAGAGGGCAGGCGGAATTGAGTTTCGACGATGTCCCTATCGAGGCGCTTGTTCTTGAAATCCCGATCGGTAAATCACACGGTGCGGGACACATTTTGGTCGAAGACGCGCATCCTGCGCGAGCTGGAACCACGTGTTTTCACGTGTCCAGGCCACCCTGGGGGCATTCTGCATGGTGCTCCCAAGCTGGAACCGCGTGCTTGTACGCGTCCGGGCCGCAGGGGGGTATCCAACATGGTGGTCCCGAGATGTGAGAGAGCGTGATCCACCGCCGCTTTACTGTGGAAAATTGCCAACCTTTTCCTCCGGAGCCCGGGGGTGCCCCCCCCCCCCCTCCGAAAATCCCCTCCCCTGCTGGAACCCCTTCCCCCCCCCCCCCCCCCCCTGGCAAAACCCCCCCCTCCCCTAACCTCTCCCCCCCCCCCCCCCCCCCCCCCTCCCGCTCGAAAACCTGGGGGGGTCACTACCGGTTCGAACCCCCCCCCCCCCCCCCTCCGGATCCGGAAAACCGGGGGGGGTCACTACCGGTTCGAACCCCCCCCCCCTCCCCCTACTCACCGCCAGCAAACGACTCCCGGTCCCCACCACCGTCCGCATCACATCCCCCACTGGTGTTCCCAGCACCACTGTCCTCACCACCGCTGTCCCCACTGGTTCCACCACCGCC